CTTGTCTTGAAAGTATCTTATTTCTTTATTAATTTTGAGAGAGAGTTTTGACGGGTATATGAGCTTCGGTTGCATATTTTTTTCTTTCAGGACTTGGAATATTTCTCCCTGCTCCCTTCTTGACTTAAGAGTTTGTGTTGATAAGTCTGCTGTTATTTTGATAGTTTTCCCGTTGTAGGTAATCTGCATCTTTTCTCTGGCTGCTTTTAATATTCTGTTCTTTTGGTGGATTTCTGGAATCTTGATTATTATATGTCTAGGCATAGATCTGTTTTGGTTGTAGGTAGCTGGAGTTCTGTATGCCTCTTTTATCTGGATATCATTTCTTTTTGCTATACATGGGAAATTTTGCTTTAATATATCTGTGAATATTCTTTGTATTTCATTTTTGGTTGCTCCTGCTTCCTCACTCACATTCTTTATTCTTAAGTTATGTATCTTTTTGTCATTTTCTAGTTTTTGAATTGCTTCTTTCTGGTTCCTTGTTATTTTTAAGAGGCTTTTTCTTTCACGATCATATGCCATAAATCTTTCTTCAAGTTTCAGAAGGCTGTCTTTAGTTTCTGTCAAGGCATTTTGCCAGTGTTCAATGGAGTTTTTAGTTTCCTGGTATTCTCTTTGGATCTGTTTCATGCATTCTAAGTTATGTTTAAATTCTTCTTCAGAAGTTTCTCTTTCTTTTCTGATTTCCTCAGTTCTTCCATCTGTGTTCTCTTGGGTGGGGCTTGTCATTTCTTTAATTAATCTCTTTATATCTTGCCTCACTTGGATCAGGAGTACAGCTTTAAATTCTTCTATGAGATCATGAAGGTACTTTTTAATTTCGGCTGATGCTGTGTTGAGCAATGGATGGTTACTGTGCTTCTTCTCTTCGGTGTTTACTTCTCCTGGGCTTATTTTTCTCATGTTGGGCAGCTGGAGATTTTTATTTTTATTTTTATCTCTTGTCATGTTTCTGGTTTCTTTCAGACTGTCCTGGGGTTCTCTGGCCCTCTCCGAATTGCTTAGGGCCTTTCAGAAGCGTGCTGACTTGAGTTTTTGCTGTCCTCCCCAATTTGCTGTTATCTGGGGTAGGCTGGGATGCAGGGGCAGTACAGGCTAGTCTCCAGCCTCTGCGCCAGTCAATCTGTAAATTAGGCTGTGCTTTCTGGATGTCACTGAGTTGTGACTATTTTGTATCTGCTTATTGGGCCCCAAGCAGAGGCTTGGTTTAGCCCCAGTAGCTCCTGCCGGTTCTCTTTGTACCAGAAGCAGCTGACTAATGTCACTATGGCACAGGGTTCTGCCCAAATCCCAGCTGTTCTCTTCCAGACCTCTCTGTGACAAGAGCACCAGAACAGCAGATCTGCCCAAATCCAAGATGTCTCCCACTAGTTCTCTGTATGACGCTGAAGCCAACACGTACTCAGGCTCTGCCCAATTTCAAGATGCCTTCCACCAGCCCTCCCTACAGGGGGACTCAGTGATGCCACCGGGCTGTAGGTTCTGCCCAACTCTAAGATGGCTGCCACCAGACTCTGTGTTATTGATGTCCCCGTGGTAGCGGGCACTGTCCAGTTCCAAGATGTTCTCTGGCCAACCCCAGCAGCCGCAGGGTCCCCAGTACTCACCAGGGTCCATACTGCTCACCTTTCCCGCGCTCCCGGCACAGCGCGGAATGGTCAGAAATCTGCTCAGCATTCAGCTTTGGAGCTCCAGAGCCTTTCACGATCTCCTCTGGTGCAGCAGGGCAGTCCTGGCTGCTTCTTGGGGTCTCAGGTCTCAGTTTCCAGCAATCACCAAAAGCCAACAGAGCTTTTCCTGTTGGGTTCACAGGTCAGTTTGTTGATTTAAAGGCGCGGGATTTGCAGCCTCCCATTATCAGCCTCCAGCTGCACTGTCTTGGTTAGTAAGAATCGTTATCCATTTGTCTGGCCCTCTCCATGTTGTCATATTCTAGCTTCTCATATGATTTTTTCCGGAGAGACTCTCCACCTGATCCCTTAGCAAGCCACCATTTTCTAAAATCGAGACCCTGTCTTTCAAAAATAGGAGAGGGGCACTGAGGGTGTAATATGGAAATTCTGGGATTCAATCCCCAGTACTTCATAAAGTGAAAATAAAACAAAATAAAATAAAATAGTTTAACTTGTTATATTCTTTTCTGCAAATGAGTGAGTTAAACTTTTTAGCATTTAAAAAATTTTTTAAAAAATTTTTTGCAGTACTGGGTCTCGAACTCATTGTATAAGTACCAAGACCTCTAGTTTTGCATATGCATGTTAGAGACAAAATGTCCACAGAGGTAGGCGTGGATAGAATCTTTTCACCATCCTCTTCCCTAGGCTTACTTCACTCAAATTTTGTTGAATAGTTCTCTGTTGTATAACATGAAGCCTTTGACACTAATTAACTGCATGAACCAGCTGGTGTTTAGTCAAGGCAAGGAGCTGGGTTTTCGAGGAGACTCCATACCATATCACGTGAAGCACAGGCAAAGGGCCTGGGCAGGGAGGTCCTGATTCCAGTTTTCCATATGTAAAGTGCTCACCATGGAAAAGTAGTTGGGGAGTACAGCTCAGTAATGGGAAGCCCTTCCTCAAGCCTGGAGTTGGCCTCGTGGGCAGACTGCCTTAGGGAGGTTAGGGACAGCTTGCAGAGGTGTCTGGAATCCTCAGAGCCTTGGTGGGGTGTGCCAGAGGATTTTCATCCTTTAAAGCCATTGTGTGCAAGGCCTCTTTGTAAACGGAAATTTCACAGTTTTGAAACCATCTTAGTTTTCCTTGTGATTAGTCTCCCCACATTCTCCAAAGCAAAGATACTTGGTTCTGCCTTCAATATGTTTAAAGGCAGCATTGCAGAGTAGGTTCCCGGGTCTCCCCGACTGCCTCCCTCTCCACCACTGGCACAGCTCTCCACATTTGCAGCTGGGCGGCTCCCCTCAGAACGTTGCCGGTGCTCCTTTGCTCTGTCCTTTCCTTGCACACTGTGACTGCTGGTGTGACTCTCACAACAACACAGGCTGCATCTGCTGCTCCCATTCTGAGCTCCTTGGTCTATTCATAGGAGGTAAAAACTTCCCCTTCACCTTCCCTTTCCCATTACCATTCTCCTTCCTTTCTTCCTTCCTTCCTTCCTTCCTTCCTTCCTTCCTTCCTTCCTTCCTTCCTTCCTTCCCTCTCCTTTCTCAGTACTGGGGATTGAAGCCAGGGTCTTTACACTAAGCTATATTCCCCAGCCCGTAAGTTTTTTACAAAACAATTTGAGACAGACTTGCTAAGTGGCTGAGTTGCCCAGGCTGTTCTTGAACTTGGGATTCTCCTGTCTCAGCTTCCCAGAATGCTGGGATTACAGGCATGTGCCTTTATGCCGAACATGTTTCTTGGTTAATGCCGTTTATCTCCTCATCCTCATCTCCTTTAACTGAACTCTGTCATAGTCCAAAAGCGGTGCCGTTTAGTGTTTTCTCATCCCCTCTGCTCACTTTCTCCCCTTGCAAGGATTGGGCTTATTTATGTGTGCTTTTGTCTATGGCCTCTTTCTCCCTAAGCCTAAATCTGGGATGGTGACATCTTTCTGTTTCACCAGTACCCAGCAGCTATAACCCTGTGTGGGCCGGAGAGGCACCCTGCAGGAATGTGTGGAATGAACATTTGTGTATCTGTCCCCCTCACCCTCTGTGAGTTCAGAGCAGGAACCCGGCTTCACATATGCCTGAAACTTGAGAATGATTTTTAGCCGGAGCCTGTGGGCTCTGGTACCTGTCATTATCTGGAGCATAGTAATTCAACGGCGCCTTGGTGGAATTAGGCCTTCAGGTTCTTAATTTCCATCACTCTCATTGGATTTGTTTTGACTGGAGATCCCATTGCCTGTTTTAAAAACATATTCCCGTGGGTGCTTTTGAGTGATGGACACTCCTTGCTTGGCAGGCTTTTCATCCTTGTCAGGAAATCTCATCAAAACGATATTAGGTTTGCACATCGGGAAAATAAAAATCCTCCAAGAAGACGTTGCTGTTCTCTGGATTGCTAGATTGGCTTTGGATATAAGCAGCTAAGCCCACTCAGAAGGTATTTCAGCTGCAGCTGAGGTATTGGGAGAAGGCCAGGTGGCAGTCACACAATAAATAATAAAATCAGAAGGGTGGGAAGGAATTTCTCTCGTCACAAGCCAAAGCAAAATTCAAGAAGATAGCAAAATACTGGATTTGGCTGGGAGGCTTCCTTTTCAGAGGCCTGAGTGGTACCCGGCTGGGCTCTTCCCTCCGGTACTGGTTTTCCCAGGTGGGACTTTGCCCTCCGTCTTTTAGTCTAGCCTCTTCCAAGCTCTGCCTTGTAGGTTATGCTTGGAGGACCGCATAGTGGCAGGACTACTTTTATCTGAGATTCCTAGTATTGACTGGGCATTTTTTTTAAAAGCATCATTTTATCTGAAATTCCTTGCCCTTGATTTCTTCCTCCGCAGGTTGAGTATCCCTTACCTGAAACACTTGGCATCAGAATTGTTGTCAGATTCTGGATTTTCTTTTTTCTTCTTCACCATCTTGTCACTATCTTGGATTTAGGCTACTATTTTGGGATATTTTCAGATACATAATGAGACACCTAGAGGATGGAACCCAAGTCTAGCCATGCAACTCTTTTCTAGATAGCTCCGATAGGTGACCTAAAGGTAATGTTATACCTTTCCTGTGCCTGGGTTTGACTATGTCCTGTCTCATGAGGCCAGGGGTGGAATTTTCTGCTTGTGACATCATGGTGGCACTCAGAAAAGTTCAGAATTGGGAGCATTTTGGATTTTTGGAACAGGGATGCTCAACCTGTGCATGACTGGGAAAGCAGAGAGGGAGGTATCTCTGAGGCTACATTCTTGCTCAGCACTGGAAGCTGGGGTGGAGCCCGCCCACCCAGTGCAGTGTGTTGCCGAGGGTTGGAAGGATGACTACTAAGCCTGTGTCCTCTGTCCTCCACCCTGGGTGAGACCTCACTGTGGTCTCATGCTCTGGTTTCTCTTTTCAGAGGCGTGAACATGTATGCCATGTTGACGGGGACCCTGCCTTTCACAGTGGAGCCTTTCAGCCTGAGGGCTTTGTACCAGAAGATGGTGGACAAAGACATGAACCCCCTCCCCACCCAGCTGTCCACAGGTAAGGCGCCTGCTGCCCTGGATTCAGGGTTTTAGGACCTCTGTCCAGTCTGGTGTGCGTCCATTTGTGAAGCAGCGTTTTGTTTTGCAGCAATGCTAGCACGACAGTCCCATGACTGTAAGTTTCCTCCCACTGTCAGGACTAAGTCTCGAGAGCTGGTTGGTTTCCCACTCCAGCCAGCCACTCCCTTCACTCACCTGTCCTTTTCCTTCTTAATCCCCAAACCCCAACTTCCTCCTTCTGCACAAAATGCCTGCGTCAATAGGATCTTCTGTTTTCCACTTGAAAAATAATTGCAGGCTTGATTGTTTTAAAACTCACAGTATTATAGTCTTGGCTCGGAAGGGGTTTATAATCACATTTCTATTATGTGTTCTTTAGTCAACTCACTGTAAAGAAATACTAGTTTCATTCAGGTTGGGTCTGTAATTTGTTGGGTTATGTGAGTTTCTGAGCCTGTTCAAAAGCTTTTCGATGGATGTAGGTTCAGTTACTCATCTGACTGAATTATCAGGTGTACCTGAAAAGTCTTCTCAAACTTTAGCCAGTTCATGTTTCAGTGAACAGTTTGTATTAAGGTTTGGTTTCAGAACCAGTAAATGAAGTCCTTTAGTTTGCTTCAAAATGTATATCAAGTGTGTGGACTGGATTCAGATGGTTATGTAATTGTCCTCTTGAAATAAACTCACTGAGGTGAAGCATTTGACCAAAAAGTTAAAAAGTAGAATTCAGTTCAGGTGTGGTGGTGTGAGGCTGTAATCCCAGCACTTGGGAGGCCGAGGCAGGGAGGGTTGCCGCAGGTTTAAGGCCAGCCTACACTACAAAGCAAGATTCTGCCTCAGAAACGAAACAAAGCTAAGCAAAACAAAGGCAGTTATTTAGCTTCATCACTCATAATAAATGGTTAAAGTATAGCACTTTATTTCACTGCTGGTAAGTATTTTTCTCTTGAGTTAATCCAGTGAATCCAAGCTGAAATGAGTTCCAGTACATAATTATCTAATTCTGGCCATACTTTCACCTTTGTGAGGGAAGGTGGGATCCCTGGAGGTTGAGCGCAAAGGAGGCTTTATGTCCTTGAGAAGATAAGTTACGGTTCTAAAAGTAATATTTCTGCACTGAAAGCTGTAGCTTTCAGAGGTGGGAAACGTACAAAAATGGTGAAGGAATTGTTTTGTGTAAGTTTCAGCACTCCGGGAAATGGAGACAGTGCTGCAAAGCACTGTGAAGACTGTTCATTCCCGCATTCAGTCCTTCATTCATATTTCATAGTCATTCATGTATGAAATGTGCCCGTGTGCTGGGTGAGTCCAGGTGGCAGGAAAGTGGGGAGCAGCCTCTTCCCGTGCTGAGCTCACACGGTGTTGCAAGTGGGAACAGGATGTAGGAGTGTGTGGTATGTGATAGTGCACATGTGCTAACTAAAAACTCAGGATATGGGAGTAGAGAGCGGAGGGGGGTGGTTTTATTTACTTGTTTATTTTAAAACAAATAAGATTTTTAAAAAAGAAGATTCACACCCAGCTGTCAAAATCACAGGAGGCCTATGTATCTTCACTCAGCTCCTTCCGGTAGCAGGGCCTGATATTATGATAGTGTATGCCTACCACCAGACGTTGACTGTTGATTAAATCTCTTGACCTGGTTCCAGCTTCACAAGCGTCAAATGCTTTCATGTGAACACTGCTGTGTATTTAGCGCAATTTCGTCACACTTGTTGGCATATGGCACCATGGTTTCGAGGTACTGTGGTGGATTTCAAGGATCCTGTGCTCTCCCCATGGCCACCGCCACATCCTGTCTTTCTACTGTGCATAACTCCTGCCAATCACTATCCTGCTCTCTGTCACTATAATTTTGTCACTTCAGAAATGCTACATACATATTTGAGACCCAAGCTGCAGTTGCTGCATGCTTCGGAACTGGGTTTCCTCTTAGTGCTGAGCAGCGTTCCCTAGCATGGACATTCCACAGTGTGTTTAACCATTCATCCAATGAGTGACCACTGGGCTGTTTCCACTTTAGGACCATTACGAGGAAAGATGCTGTGGATATTCGTGTGCAGGTGTTAGTCTAAGCATATATTGTTTCTCTGGGACAAATGCACAAGAGTAAAATTGCTGGATCAGATAGTTAGCATATACAGATACTTAGTTTTATGGGAAACTGTCACACCCATGTTCAGAAAAGCTGAACCATTTTGTATTCCCACAGGCAAAAAGCCATTTAGAGCAGGATTATTGATAAATATGTCAGTGATTCTGAAGTTCCTGTGATAGGCAGAGCCTGTTTTCTCCTACAGGACCCAGCATATAGAAGAGCAGAAGGGTACTGATATTCACATCCTCAGGAAGGCAAACAGTACCCACTCTGAATCCCACTGGGGCTTGGAGGAGCAGGAGAACACTCATCTGCCACCTTCTCATTATATTGGGCACGAGAGGCCAGGCTAAGCTACAGTAATAACTGGCCCCCCGTTCTCAGTGGCTTGAGACTGCAAGGGTTTATTCTCACTCATGTATCTATGGAGAGTTGGATCAGGGAGTAAAGTGTTCTGCCTGTCTTAGGCTCCAGGCGGATGGAGGAGCTTTCATTTTCAACATGGCTGATCCATGCAAAGGGAACGAGTGAAAGAGAAAGAGATAGTCTTTCACCAGCATGAAATCTCCATCCCCTCATACCGTCAAGCTTCTGAAACACGGAGCATGGCCTCATTCAAGTATTGGGAGGAAGCAGCGCAACACCAGCATGAGAGCCAGATATGTCATGAACAGCATTAGCGGGGACCACACACAGGCTAGAAGAGGAGCAAGAATCACCCTTTAATTCAGCACAGGACCAGGCTGGACAGCCAGGCGAGGGCATGGAGGTTAATAATTTTAAAAAATCATTCACACTACTTCAGAGCTGTGCCATGCTTTTACTCCCAGGGATCTTACTCAACCTTAGTGCATCGAGATTTAAGTGTTTTTGGATTGGGAAAATTAAATTTACCCTAAAGAAGTAAAAAATATATGCCTTAACATGTTAAAATTCAGTCCAAATGTCATTGCAGAAAAGGAAGATTAAAAATATTCCATACAATCTATCACAGGGTAGGGTCTAACTTCACCTGCTTCTGCATTGAGAGAGATTTGACTGTGGCTTTCTACTCTGTGATTGTTTTGACTTTTCAGTCATCAGTTGCGTTTCTAGATCTGATTTCCCACCTAAGCAGTCTGATGCCTCCCCCATTTTTTCCTAGTGGGATATGAAAACATCTCTCTCTAACTAGGCTTTGTGTGTTTGTGCCAGGTGTCAAGTGTCGTGTTTGCACATGATTAGTGCTCAGGGAATCCAGCCTGCTGAATCAAGTTAAGGGGAAAGGGGTGTTAAAGTGGGTGTGGCTTGGGAAGGTGGCTGATGGAGTCATCTGAGCACTCGGGATCAAGAACTGGGCCAGTGTAGGACCCATAGCTGTGCACCAGCTGCATATGTAGCCCAGGGTGTGGTGTCATATTTATAAAATGAATGACTTCAGGTTTAGGATCCGCTGCTGCTCTTCTGACTGCTCCCCACGTTTGTGGCCCCCTGTCCTCTACCAAGTTCATTGTGGCCTGCTTCTAACAAGCGTGGTCCATCTTTATATATATATTTCCTTCTGATGTCATCCAATTTCGTGTATAAATACTGCTTTACCCTTTCTTGCCATTTCTTGAATAACTATATATGTGGGGTTTTTTGATGTGTTAATCTTGTTTTCACATAACTCTGCAAGAGAAATATCATTATTTCCAATTTACCAGTGAGGAAACTCAGTATCAGAAGGGTTAAGTCTGGCTGAGTGAAAACGGATTTTTTTACTTTACTGCATGGTATTTCTCTCCCTTCCCGTTTTATTGAGCATGATGTGCCCCCTCCCAATCTAAGGACATTATCTTTTGTCTTTAAGTTGTGTTTTAAATAATGTCAATCCAAATAGAAAATATGTCAGTTTCATTGTGTCATGAATTTACTAGTTTGATGAGTATGCCGCTCACATTTGTAATGATCACATCTATTATATCCTAGTGCTGTCTTTATATTCAGCTTGAAGAATTTTCACTAAATTTGAGTTAAAAAAAATACAGCGTTGTTTCCCTTGTGAATTTGTGAAACATGCTTTCAGAGAAGCACCCTTTATTTCTGCCACATAGTTGGAAATTGTAAGCTTTGGCGGCCTTTCCAGTTCTTTCTTCTGGGCCATTTTATCTTTCTGCTTTTTAGCACTTGTGTATCACAGAGCAGCACATGCCTCTCGGGGCTTAGACATACTTCAGACGGTTTACTCTTTCATCACCGAACCTCGGCAGTAGTGTTTGTAACACATTCCAGTTGCTTCTGATTAAAAGTGCTATGTGCCGAGGATTCGCTGACGTGAAGCTAAAGGAGATGTGTTAGTGTGGCTGACTGTCGAACCGGTGCTAAAATTTTCAAGAAGGCCTAACTGTTGGATAATCACAGAATTCCTAGCCTGGGAGGTGTTGAGGAAGTAGCCTCCAGTGGGATCCACTTGCATGCAATGAGCAGCACTCAGGAGAAGTCTAATGGCTTTGTCTGTCATCTTTAGCCTTGATATAACATCTGGGCGCTCACCTGTTCTGGTCCAGACTTGGGAAGGCTGCCGGCCCATGGAGTAAAGAGTGGGACCTTTTGCACCATGGGGATATGTAGCTCATATTACTTTGAGCAGGATGACAGAGCGCACCCCAATGCTCCTGGCCAGAATAGAGACCCAAGGGTTGAAGGGTTAAAGGGCAGCAGGTCACTGTGCTGGAGGGTAGGGAATATTTGAATCCCTTTTGCCCCACAGACATAAGAATTTTTCAGAACCCTAACAAAAACTCTAAAGAACGGCAAGGGTGACTTCAAAGACCTTTTAGGATGGTAATGCAATGCTTATTTTTAAAGCAGTAAAATTCATCAGCAGAAATTTGAACTAAAATTACTTATGCTTATAAGCAGTTTGTGAAGTTGTAGAGCACTTGATTTGTGAAAATATAATACACACATCCGGTTTATCCTTGGTCCCTCTGGTTAATTATACTCTGAGAAAGCCACACTATAGCCTGGGAATGTCATTCAGGTCCCTAGAGGGGTCATTCAGAAAGCATCCTAACTCCACAGCATGCCTAGTTCACTTCATTAAACCCACATCTTTCCCCTTGGACCAATAGGTGCACCTTGATCCGAGTGGGTCTTACAGGGTAGGGGTTTTGTTGGGAGGGAGATACAGGATATCTGTGGCATACACTTCCTAGCAGTAGTTTAGGAAGGTTCAATTTGGAGATCCAGCTATAAAACTTGAGCGTATTTGTTTTCTTGGTAATACTGGGGATTGAACGGGGTCCTCAAGCAAATGAAACTTATAGTATTCAATGTGATTCTTAGGGTGTCTGTGCATATTGTTATAATTTTACCCACTACATATGTGAAGGCAGATGACCTTCTTGTGACCTCATCAGCCGCTAGAGAAGTCCTGGGAACCCAGCAAGGGTTGCTTCTCTTGAGTTGGTTCTCGCCTCTCAACCAGTCCCTCTTTTTGTGATGGCCTCATTTTTACCCTGCAGAAAATGTGTTCACAGAAGGCGCATCATTCTTTCAAGAACAATATTGAAATGACAACTTAAAGTCGATCAGACAGTGAGAATTTGTGGATTAACCTACGGAAGGTTAAGATTCTCTTAAGAAGCAAGATTCTCTTAAGAAAACTGAAAAATAGCTTTGGAGTAAAAGACAGAAAAGGTTGGCAACCAAACAAAATAAGATTGTTTTCTGGGGCTTATTAGCATGTTAGAAATTGGATGTCATGTATAAAGCTACACAAAAGATTTTTTTTTTAATATTGCAAGACACTGTAAGAGTGTTCCATAAAAGAAGGATTATAGAATCAGAAAATAGAAGGGTCCCAGAATTCGAGCAAGGCAGACACTTTGTTTTGAAGGGATCCCTAGCATTCAGTTTTCATATCTGGATCTCCTGCTTGTTTGCTTGCTGATCAGTTTTGTAGCCTGTGACCTTCGTGTATGTATTTTTACATGTCATGCATTATCACCCTTGTTACAGTCTTGAAGGGTGTAAATGTTCTTCATGGAGATGGATTGGCTTTCTGTCTCTAGTGCTTGGATAAACAGCAGGTACACTGGAAATGTTTAATGAAAGGAGACTCGCCTCCTCCAGGCCTGGCCTCTTACTAGCATATTCTGCTCTGAACCCTTCTGTAGGTTAATCCACCAGTGTGTATAACATCCCCTATTCTAATTGCCTAGCCTTGTAAACACATGAGCCTTTGGGGGGACATTCTAGTCTAAACCATAACAAGAAACTGTTTGGATTTTATGGTTTTGCATATCCTTCCCTTACTTCACTACAGTGAAGTCTTTATTTTGTAAAACAATGACAGACTCCATTGGCCTACATCCCACCCAATCAGCCCCTTCATTATGAGATTCAGCCCAATGGTAAGCAATCCCTCAGGTATTTGTGGGTTTACAGTGTGGCACTGTGGAGATAAAACTGATTTTAAGAATGAAGTCACTACACAGAATCTATTTAATGTTTTAACACAGTGTGACTCTGGTGGCACACCAGCCCAATATGCCCGACAAGTTGGTTGTGGGCCCCATCCAGGCTGGATGATGTATGTTAATTAGGTCATAGGATATGAATATTAATTAGGTCATAGGGTATGCATACTAATTAGATCATAGGGTATGGAGAAGAAGTGCAGCCCTGGAGAACGGCTTTAAAAGAGCAAATCAGGAAGCGCCTCCTTGGCCTTCTGAGACATGGGAGTCCCATGGTCAAGCTGCATTAGTGAGGTTAATTAGAATGTCTTGATCCTTCTGACTTCTTCCTCAGTGCTTGGCCACCAATCTTGAGAGCAGGCATTTTCTGTTTACTTTCTTCCATCCTGTAAGTGTGTAAATATACATCTCTTTGGCTCACTTCTAAGCAATGAGAAGAGAACATAGGTTGTGTTGGGAAGTGTCCAGCTTGGGGAGGCCAAACTGGCTCTTGCATTCTCACATCCTAGCTGCATCACGCGGACAGGCACTTTAAATTCTTAGGACATGTGGCACCTTTTTATAGGAGGTGGGTTTTGAAACCCTACTTATCTGAAGGTAAGGGGAGCTGAACCCGCATTCTGTGAATCCCTGACCCAGCTGTACCCCCAGATCTAGAGAACAGATCACTCCAGCAGCAGTGAGGAGGAAGCAGGCAAGGGGGCAGGCTATCTGCTGTGGCTTTCAGTGGTTTCTTGTTCAGTTTATAACACAGGCCTGTTCTTCTCCTGATGTTTTCCAGGGGCCATCAACTTCCTACGCTCCCTGCTGGAACCAGATCCCGTGAAGAGACCAAATATTCAGCAAGCCCTGGCGAATCGCTGGCTCAATGAGAATTACACAGGCAAAGTGCCCTGCAATGTCACCTATCCCAACAGGTAATGCGATGCACCAAGAAGGGCTCCTTCCCCGGCGAGTGCAGGCCCGGCCCACTGCCCGAGTAGTGCAGGCCTGTCTCAGGGTGGGAGAGGAGGTGTAGACGGGCCACAGAGTGTGGCTGTGCAGAGGGCCAGTGGAGGCCGCAATCCAGGCCAATATTCCCCACACGAACCTTGTTCCGAGGTGCCACATCTTCCCTGAGGGACAGCTCTTTCCAGTTCACCGAAGGGACTTTCAGGGGGACCGTGGCCTGAGTACGTGTGTGTCTGTGGTGTGTGTGTGTGTCTGTGCTGTGTTGATGTGTGTAAGAACACATGTGTGTGCATCTGTCAGTGTGTGTGTTGGCCTGGGACCATGTGTGTAGGGCAAATAAATAGTCCTAAACTCTATTTTAAAAAAAAAAAACTCTTTCAAAACCACCCTTGGGCTTCTCTTCTGAGGCTTCACTGTGTCACTTCTTTCAGCTACTGTCTCCTGCCTGAAAGTGTTGGGAGGAAAATGAGTTAGGAGTCCTGGTTTCCCTGGAACTTGTAGGCATGGCTTTTCCTCAGTGACCAGTAGTGGTGGCCCAGGGCCACCGAGAGGCTTCATTCAGACTGGGTGTAGACTGGGGTGGAACATGAGTCTGGGCAAACACTTCTTGTGCTTCTTTCCTACTCGCTGGGCGTTTTGCTAAACAATCTGAGTAAGGGTATTGAGGATCCTGACTGTGGCTTCCGCGCAGCGGACAGGTTGGTGTTACTGGCAGAGGGGGCTCATGACAAAGGAAATTAAATGATAATGATAACGGAAATTAAAGGAGAAGTGTAAATTTGCAGGGAAAAAAAACCCCTAAATTAAACGCAAGAGAAAATAAGGGGACGTGCAGCTCGGACAGAGATCAAGTCTGGCCCCTAACGAGCAAAGTCAACGCAAGTAAGGGAAATTGTGCACCTTGGGGAGTTTGAGGAGTGTTCCCAAGTGCAGGACTTCAGATTGGCCCACTCACCGAAGTGGAAGACCAGCTTTTCGGAATGAGACAAGGTGGGCCCAGGGGCCAGTGTGTTCTTATCTCAGTCCTGGTTTTGTAGCTCAAGTTGAATCCTTGTGACTTGACATTGCAATTAGATTCCCAGGGGACTAGTCAGTCCTCATGCTTTAAAGGACAATCTCAGTCACATGACTCTCTGCTGACGCATTGCAACTATAGGTATAGGGTGGTGGAGACTCTGGGCATAACTGAATGTCCCTGTAATTCTCTTTTTCCTAGTGTTCTCCATCTCAAAGGGTGATGAGACAGGCTGGATGAGTTCGGGCTGACAAACCTTGTATAGCCAACTTCTAGACAGAAACTCTTCGAATGAGAAGGGTCCTTGTATGCAGAACTGAGAAGTTGACCCAGAGTTTTACAAGTGAAAGTCAAGCTGTGTTCTGCCTGTAGTTATCTATCGGGTCCTTGTGGTGCTAAGTGAGGAGTCAGCTTTTAGCAAAAACCACTTTTTTTTTTTTTTACTTTTAAGTTCTTATCTACCTCAGAAGAAGAACAAATCATGGGCTGGGGATTTAGCTCAGCGGCATAAGCGCCTGCCTTGCAAGCAGGCAGTCGTGAGTTCGATCCCCGGTACCAATAAAAAGGAAAAAGACCAAAAAAAAAAAGAAGACACAAATCATGGTTTTAATAAATCATAGATTTGCCGGGGATGTAGCTCAGCAGGCAAAAGCACCTGCCTGGCAAGCGTGAGATTGTGAGTTTGATCCCTAGTACCAAAAAAAAAAAGATTAAAGGCCCAGGAGTTTTATCCTTTGTCCCAGTGGTGATCTCTGACTATTACAACTGTGTCACTGGGTCCCTCTTGCTTCTCCCTTCCTGCCCAGTGAGGTGAGGCCTGTGTGTCTGCCCAGCTTTGGATGAGGCCCGCAGAACTGCTGACTATGGGGCAGGTGGGAGACCAAAAGCCTGGGGAAGAGGGTTCCTCCATGGTCCTATTTCCAGAATCCCTGGGAAACTTCCACCAAGCCATCCAAGCCACGTGCCCATTTCTCCAACCAAGATGGGAAGCAGACCTGTGTCTTGGGGTGAAAGTTCTAGAAGAATTTAAAGGGACACACAAGTGGACATGCTCAGAGCCTGATCCGTGCTGCCAGACCAAATTTACACTCTCCGTGGCCCCGAGGAGGTGGTTTCGCTTGGTTGTCATCTAGAATTCTAGCATTTGGCTCATGGGCGGTAATTTAGACAAAATCTAGATTACTTAGGTTACCAAGGGAACCTGGAAATAGATTTGCTGTTTTCCAACACCTGCTTAATTTGGGCCAGTATCTGAAACAAACACCAGAAATATTATCCCCAGCAAGAGACAGAAAGCAGAGCCGAGGGGCCATGCCTCATTCCCGGCAAGGTGCAGCACGAGGAACACGTTCTGTTGAAGGAGGCCCTTGGTGGCAGCCAGATAAGTCATTAAGCTAATGTAATCACCTTCGGAATGAGCATAATCAATCCACTCGACATGGCTTTGGAGGAGGTGGTGCTTCCCCTATTCACTGCAGCTGCTCTGACAAAGAATCACCATGTGGCATCTTGTAGCTTTTCCAAGGCTGTCACTACACTTGGTTGGGGGGAGGTTAATGCTTAAACTCACCTTCCTATACTGGTTTTGCCCCATTGATAGTCTTTACATTTATCTGCAAGGCCTGTTACTCATTTTGTACTGCAGGTAGATTGGCATTCAGTTTTTAGGACAGGAAACCAGAATTCCAAACCATTGGGAGAGGTACCTATTGTTGATAGCATTTTAAAACACATTTACCTCTAAGGCAAAAATGTACTTTTGATAATTTGGAGGAGGGGTTTTACCAACATATAGCTAAAAGGAGAAAGAACATGCCACTAAGAAAAGGAACTGTTTTCTTTGCAGAGTATGGTTTATAGTTTCCCTCATTCCTAGACCCACGCTATGGTTTAGTTCCAAAGGTCCTCCAAAGTCTCCTGTGGTCAGAGGTGGGGCTTGTGGAAGGGGTGTAGGTCATGAAGACTCCGACCGCACCCATGGTCCCCTGGTGACCTCACAGCTCACTGGACTGTTAGGAGCTGGGGCCCAGCAGCGAGGAGCCTGCCTTAGGGGAGGGTCTCTCACTCTCTGTGGCTCTCCCCCCTCCCTCTCTGCTTCTGGCTTCCCCGGTGAGAGCCCTGTTCCTGGGCCAGGCTGTTTCTGCTGCTCTACCCTAAAGATCGAGGGCTGAAACCTCTGAAACAGAGCCAAAAACACACCCTTTTCTCCTCTCAGTTGTATATGGCAGATATCTTGTCTGGGTGACAGAGCTGATTAATATAACTGAAATTTAATGATTATGGATTTTGCCAATGTTTTTGCCTTCTGGGAAAGGAGAGGGCAAATAAAGTTCCCAAGCCTCACACTGTCCTTCCTGAGAGGTTTCTCCTAGGGAATCATTGGGATCGCTGTGTTGATGTCCAAAAGGCAAGAAGAAAACAGCTTAAAGAGTAAATTTTTTATAATAAATGTTCCTGCCAGTCAGTCAGCAGATGTTTTCTGGATGCCCTGCTGGCTTTGCTGATCTGAGCACAGGCATTTTTACAGAACTTTCCCTGCTGCCTTTTCCTGTGTCTGCTCAAGGGTCTAGACAGCTCCCCACTCTTGCAAGCAGCTGTGGCGATGGGTGGGCGTGGGAGGACAGCAGGGCATGGGAGATACAGGACAGCATTAGACTAAAATAGTGTAAAAGGGCACCTAGTGAGAATGGACTTAGTTCAAATTATATCTCATGCCCTGGAACATTTTTCCATTCTCTGTATCATCTGAACCCATCTGTACCATCTGAACACAATATAGATTCCATAGTAGACATTGGACAACACCATATATATGTGTATAAACATTATTTATTGGAAAATGTTTAAAATATGTACTACTGTCTGTCAAGAGTGGGTTCACAACCTACATTGGCAGGGCTCTCCTGATTTCGGAGACAACATACATGAAAGGCAGAAATGGGGTGTCCACTCCTGTGGATACTGTCCCTACCCCTGTGCTATTCTGTACTCTCCTATGTCCTGGAGACCCCTGCTCCAGACAGAGGGTGGGGCCATGGGAGTATGGCCACCACTGGATTGGCCAGGGTGTAGCTTCCAGTGTGATGTGATTGGCTAGAAAGGAGGCCATTATCATTCCTACACTGGTGTTACCAGATCTTTTCAAACAGTTGCACCTGCTATGTTAAACTTTTTGGCAAGTAACTGTAGTCATAGCTCAAATAATTGTGTAATTCTTTTAAGTTTTTCTTGGTGCTGGGGACAGAACCCAGGACCTCAATTGTTCTACTAGAGTTGCATCCCCAAACCATATGCTTTCAAATATGTTATGAATATCTTTTTTTTAACCACTAGTCATTCCATTCCTCTTCCACATGGTAGCTAGAATTTTGTAGTTTGGAGACAAACAGGAGTGAGGAAGCTGATTTCGTTGTTGCTTGGAGGTGGGTGTTTTGGACCCTCCATTGGTCCAGCCTAATGGAGGAGAGCTGATGAAGGTTACAGCAACATAGTGGATGATAGCCAAGAGACAATCTGCCCTTGATTTCTTATTAGCTAGTCAAGTGGATGGGGCAAGTAGGATCCTTTTTACAATTGCAGGTTGTGATATGGGGCTTTCTCTGGGCATCGTAACTCTGAGGTTCCATCAGAAGTATTATGAGACCCTTTGGTGGAGGTTGGGGATGCTCCATCCAGACATGACTGCCTCCTGCTCACTAGTGCCCTACTTGTATCTACCTGATGATGCATCTTCATTACCAGGCATACCCCTTATAATGCTCACTCTGATTTCTTATCCTCGGTAGCCATTCAAATTATCTATGGAGAGGCAGTGAGAGTAGAGGCTTAGCATCCAGACTCTAGCCATGCTGTGCAGATTTTAATTCTGGAGATGCCACTTCCTTCCTTGTAACCTGGGAAAGTTACTTCAACATTGTGGCCTTCAGTTTCCTAATCTGTAAAATGGAAATGCTGATAGTACCTGCTCGTGGGACTGTCAGGAGACTAAGTGGATTTATGTTCCTCTTCCTCCCAGAGATTTGGTGGCTGAATGAATGAAGTAGTAAATAAATGAATGCCTGGTATTTCTTTGGAATTTTGTCCCAAAGAGTTTATTTCCGGCTGGGAACAAGCTGAGAGCACCCTGAGTTTTAACTGAGTGCAGACTCCCCATATGGAGCAACTTGTGCATTCTCATAATCCCTAACGGTCTGATTAGTTCCTGAATGTCTTCCCTTCCTAGTCAAAGAGAGCCTGAATGTGTGTTCTGCCCACAGCTAGGAAATGCATTTTGTGGAAAGGATGTCTAATGGGAAAGAAACTTGGGGCATAGTTGGAGAATTTGAACGTAATTGTATGAGTGATATTAAGGGACTATTAAAATTTTATTTAGAGAGTTGATAGTCTTGTGGCTCTGTAGAGGATGCCCTTGGGCTTTTAGACAAAAGCACACTGAAGTGTATAGAAGTGAAATATCATGGTGTCTGTAATTTAAAATACGTTAGCCAGAAAATGGTGAAACCAGTGTGGCAAAGTGTAGTTGGTATATCCGGGTGATGGCACACATGTAGTATCAACAGTCATCCTCCCAGGTGCATACTGGGGAATTGTTTCTGGAGTCCTCCCAAGGATGCTAAAAATCTGCAGGTGCTTGATTTCCATACATAAAATGACATGGTGTTTAAATGTAACCTATGCACATCTTCCTCTGTGCTTTAAATCACCTCTAGATTACTTGCAATGTAAATAGTGATTATGCTGTGTTGTTTAAAGAATGACAAGAAAAAAGTCTTTCTGGTAACTAGAAACCTTGAAGACATAGTATAGGTAGAGAGTTCATGAACAAAACCTAGATTGCATGGGAAGTACTTCAAAGAGTCAAAAACTGGAATCTCATCTTATTAAAAAGGGTTTGCACAACAAAAGAATTACCAACAAATTGAAAAGGCAACACACAGAGTGAGCCACTTGTCCCTCAGAAAAAGAACTTCTATCTAGAGCTTATAAAGAACTGAAAAAAATCAGGCCCCCCAAATTAAAGACCTAACCAAAGATGGGTATTTGAGATGATCGCACACTTCTCAGATGAAGGAATACAAATGTCAAATACATACATGAAAAAATGTCCAACAACACTCATTCGAGAAATGCAAATTAAAACACTGAGATTCTACTTCAGTCCAGAAAGAATGGCTATCTTCAAGAAGTCAACCAATAACTAATGTTGGTGGGGCTGAGGGGAAAAAGAACCCTTCTTCACTGTTGGTAGGAGTGTAGACTGGTACAACCACTGTGGGAATCATTGTGGAGATCCTCAGAAAATTAGGATTAGGATTGTTCCACCCAGCTATTTCCTTTCTGGTTATTTTCCCAGAAGAATTAAAAATATCAGGCCAGGGATTTAGCTCAGTAGCTCATACGCTTGCCTGGTAATTGTGAGGTCATGAGTTCAATCCCCAGTAGAAAAATAAAAAAAAAATTAAAAATATCATACCACAGCAATATATGTGTATCCATGTTTATAGCAGCACAATTTATAAGAGCTAAATCTTAGAAACAACCCAAATGCCCATCACCTGAGGAATGGATTAAAAAGATGTGGTATTTTTATACAATGGAGTACTTCTCAGCCTTAAAGAAGGATAAACTTGAGGCTTTTATAGGTAAATGGTTGCAACCAGAGACCATGTTCATGGGAAATAAATCAGATTCGCATGTGTAAACATCATATTGTCTCCTGTGTGTGAGAAATTAAGAGTAAATAAGATCTAAAATGTACAGCAGTTATTGTGAGATGGGAAGAAATTGTTCAAAAGGAAAAAGGAACTAGGATGGGTGAAAGGAGAAAGGACGGTAGGGAAAATGGAAAAAAAAATGCAAGTCGGTTACAAAGTGCTGGGCCCCTGCTTTTCTGTGCATGTGAAGCTTTTCATAGTAAGTCAGGTGAATGAATGAACCTTAGTGTTCACGGAAGCCTTCGTGGGTCAGCTCTGTGCGCTGCCTTGGGAGCCCTTCCGCTGGAGTGGAGGGTGACTAGTTCTGTCTCTCTGCCCACAGGATTTCCCTGGAAGACCTGAGCCCCAGCGTGGTGCTACACATGACGGAGAAGCTGGGCTTCAAGAACAGTGACGTGATCAACACCGTGCTCTCCAACCGCGCCTGCCACATCCTCGCCATCTACTTCCTCTTGAACAAGAAGCTCGAGCGCTATTTGTCAGGGGTAAGAGGCACCTTCTGACCACTCTTGCCCAGTTGCTGACACTTGATCCAGGCTGCTTATTTAACCTCACGTGAGGCTGAGTTTCTTGAGTGTGGGGTAAAGTACTAGTAAAACTTGCTTCTTAGGTGGCACTTGGAATCTGAGATGTTTTTCTGTTCTCCCACAGAGCTAAGCCCTGGGGGGAACTGTGAGGGAATCAAGGCTCATTTCCCTTTAGCTCAATTGCTTATGTTTTGTTCAGCCCCCTCATTACTCTTTGGTCCCTCATTTTAGAGGTGCTGGGGACATCTTTGGTCATAACACTCGAGGAGCAGTGCCTGTCAGGGATGTATTTCTAAAGGATGGGATATAAGAAATTCGCTATACTCAGCCCTCAGTATCCAAGGGTTCTGTATCCACAGGTTCTGTATCCACAGGAGTCAACTCACAACTGATCAAGAGTATATATATTTTCACTTGTGTCTGTACTGATGGGTACATTTTCCCTTGTCACTAGTCCCTAAGACAGTAGCAGCATAACAACTGGTGGCATAGAATTTGCACTGTATCAGGAATTGCTAGTAAGTTTAAAGTGTACAGGAGGATGTGCATCGGTTACACGCCAACATCACACCATTTTTCATAAGGGACTGGAGGGTTTATGGATTTGCTATCCATGGAGCTACCTAGAACCAATGACCCAAGGATACAAAGAGATGACTGTGTTTTATTTGTTTCTCTGGAATATAAGAATGAACTTGAGCTTCACTACCTTGATCCTCACATACTTAACAGAGCCCACATGTATTATATCACATGCAAGGAGCAGTTGAGAGCCTCACAGCATGGGGTGGACAGTGATACCCTGACATCTTGGTCTCTGTCCTCATTTGGCCATAAGAAGTTCATGTGTGTCTGGAAAGGAGGTTGACGTGCTTCAGCATGTATTGTTGATTAAATCACCTCTCTTTAAACGGACAATGATTGAAAAAGAATTCCACCAAGAATTCCACCAAGGGGCTGAGGATTTAGCTCAGTGGCATAAGCGCCTGCCTTGCAAGCAGGCAGTCATGAGTTCGATCCCTGGTACTGATAAAAACGAAAAAAAGACCCAAAAGAAAAAAGAATTCCACCAAGCTAGATCCAGATCAACATGGATTCTGTGCATGATTACTCTTGTATATATCCAAGAGGGTGGCCTTGGATCAGATCTAACAGGAAGTCAGTCAAAGAAATTCAGGTTTGGCAGGATACCCACCTCGTATTTGATTAAGAATTCACTTTCATGGAGGATAACTTTGACCCTGTGTATATTGCACCTTGAGATCTGATACTGTGCAGTCTTCTCTGTTAGGAAGATCCTTAGAATCTAGATAGTAAGAACAAACTACTAGTGCTTTTTTAGTGCTATTCAAAGTCACATGATCAGCGTGTCACAAAATTCAAAATTTTTTTGAGGTTTCTGTGTTGCAGCAAAAAGATGAAAAAACATGTGCAGTTGGGGAAATGATGTTCTCCCTGCCATGGTAGAAATGACACTAGGATGTTGACTAGAAAACTGCTCAATATGTGAAGAAACTCGACAGGAGGTTTGTTAAACAGTTGGTTAAAAGTACAGATGTTTCCAAGCTGATTCAGCTTAGGATATTTGCTAGATTTTGCTTCCTCAGGAAATTAGCTACAGAACTTTTTTTTTTTTTTTGGTGAAGATGTACATCAGAAGAAAAATTCTCAACAGTAAAAAGTTTTGCAAAATTACTAACCAATTACTAAGGATGACGTTTCATAGGGAGAAAAAAGTTCTTGGTGGAAACAGTAATGGAGCAGCACTTCTGTAGGGACAGACTCATAGCTTTGAGTTTGCATTCCAGAGATGGTACCAAGGTGTTGCTCATAGGAAATCTATGCAGGAGGTGCAAACCCAGAAAGACATGACTTTTGACACAGGGGATAGATTGTTCTATTTGCTGTTGCTATTTTTTTTTTTTTTTAAAGCCAACTTTTGGCACTTTATAACAAAGAGTTTATTTAGTTCAGTTTTGGAGACTGAAAGTCCAAGAGCAGGCAGGCCCATCTGTTTGGCCTCTGATGAGAGCTCCATTGACTGTGTCACCTCATGGCAGAAGCGGAAATGATGAGAGGCAGAGGGACCAAGCCTGTGGGGTGGCCTGGCTCCGTAAGGAGGGGCGGTTCAGAGTGTAGAGGTTGTTAGGCTCTAGTTGGCTGGCTGTGAGGCAGGGCAGCCTGGCAGAGTGGTGTGGCAGAGGAGGCTTGCTCAAGGCATAACAGCAGGAAGCAGAGAAAGATCAGGAGAGGAGGGAGGAGATAGACCCTTCCAGGCCACGCCCCAGCAATCGCCTTCTCAGACCAGGATTCACCTCCTGATGGGTCGCCTTCAGCTGAGAACTCCTCAGTGGACTAGTCCATGGATGAATATCATGGCCCCAGTCATCTCCCCAAACTTCTACCTGTGAGCAGAGCACATGAGGCTTTGGGGGGACATCCAAATGCAAACCACAATATCACAAGTCCTAGACTCTTTCTTATCCTAGTAAATTCCTGTTTTTATCATGTATTTTGTAATATGGATGATATATGAGTACAGTGGGGGGTGTGTGTGTGTGTGTGTGTGTGTGTGTGTGTGTGAGTGTGTATGTGTAGGTGCCTGCACATTTTAACTTGTAAGGGCTCAAAGTGTTTTCATTTGGAGACCATCATGCTACAGAGGGGAAAGGGGAAGCTATCAGATGACTCCAAGGTATGAAAAGAAAGCTACACACACAGATAATTGGTGTTCTCTTTCAAACGTTATCCAAAAAGTAAAAGTGTTTTGAAACAGCATATTGTAAAGTTCACGACTTCCTGTATTACAGAGGGCGCTGGTACTTGTCTTAGTAGGTTAGCAGATTCAGTCATCCCAGTTTGCTTTACCAAGTAAGGCCGAGGGGTGTTGGTTACGGCTGCTTCCACATTTACAGGTACAAGTTCCAGTCACTAGCACCTTCTGAGACAATTGTGTAACTCATCTTGAGCAAGGGAAATGTTAGGCTGTGTCATTATTTGTCCAGGTATCTTACCTTCTGCCCTCTGACGCTTGGCTTGCATCAGAGTTTAAAGTTTTACAAGGCTGAGCTTGGCTTTATCTCCTGAAAGTATTCCTAGAAACTCAGCTGACATGGTTTGAAGCAGAGAAAGTTTTGATTTGATTGTACCTGTTTTATACTGAGCTCTTCAGTTGTAGCATCTGTGTGGTCTGAGAATGCATAGTCTAGGCAAGTAGCTGTTTTTAGTCTAGAGTGAATTAATCTCCACAGGCTCCAGCTGTCTGCTCAGTAATTTCCAGACATGGCTAATTTAATTGCATTGGATGCTCTGTCCCCGTTATTAATCTTATCAACCAGCTACTTGTAACCCGTGTATAATTTTGAAATCCAATCTAATGACCTAAAAAGTAAAATATAGCACAGTAATTATTTGTCATCTCTTCCCTTCTTATTTTGTTTCCTCTTTTATAAAACCAAGAAACATGTATTTTAAATTGGAGAGCCTATGAGGGCGCTCATTAATTATTTATTGGTTGATTAATTAATCAGTCATTTAATTTTCTCAGTCTCCAGACAAGATTGCACCTGCATGATCTTACATGGAGTTGTTCTTTTTCTTTAAGCTACGTTATGGAGTCCTGTGGCTTACCTTTTGGGACGTGTGTTCTTCCTTTTTAAAATAAATAAGATCTGTATCTTCTTTAGTGGCTCAACAAAATAAGTTATTGTTTCCAACTTGCCTGTTCACTTCTTTCCTACTGTAGAGTTGTCTCTGTTGCATGGAGGAAAGAACTGAAGGCCAGTAGGGACCAGTGACCAGCCCAAGGTCACCTGACCCTTTGCGGGGAAAGCCTGTTATAGAGGAGCCTGCCCGGCTCTGGGTCCAGGGCTCACCTCAGTCTGCATTCTGAAATGAGACTTTGCGTTGCAATTGCTTTGCTTGCCATCCGTCTCACTTTTTCTCAGCCAAGCACTGGTTTAAAAATTAATAACTGCTTAATGTGTTTTGATTTCCAAGTCTTAAGCCATGCTTTTTTTCCCTCCTTCTCTGGTAGAAATCTGATATCCAGGACAGTGTCTGCTACAAGACCCAGCTCTACCAGATAGAAAAATGCAGGACCACCAAGGAGCCCTATGAGGTAAGTGAACCTGAAACAAACATTGGCTTAAGAACAGATTCGCCAGGAATGGTGGCTCATGCCTTTAATGCTGGCACACCGGGACGCTGAAGATCACAAGTTTGAGCCCAGGTCAGGCATTTTAGTGACTTGGAGAGCGTGTATGAAAGCCATGGGTTCAATTCCCAACACATGTGTACCAAAAAAGAAATTTCCACTGGGGTGAAGAAGTAGTCACTATAGGATGTGGCAGTATCCACAGATACACTTGTTAATTTTTTTTTTTTTTTTTTTGGTACTGGGGATCAAACTCGTGACTGTGTGCTTGCAAGGCATGTGCTTATGCAGCTGCCCCTATAGATACACTAGTAAAAGAGCTCTTGAGAATTGGTTTGCAGCAAAGCCACCATCTCTGACCTGCAGTTATTACTGTGGCTACACAGAGGTACTCAGAGTGTCTGAACATCTGGGTACCCAGGCTGTACTGCAGACCAGTTGCATCTGTTCACAGGGGCAAGACTTGGGGGTCAGTATTTTATAAAGCTCCCTGGATGATTCCAGTGAGCAGCTAAGGTGGGAAACCCTTGTTACAGCTCTAGGTAAAAACAGTGTGCTCAAAATACAGCTGAAAGTCATGCTTATTATCATCAAGAAGAGAAAGTAAATGAAGAGCAGGGTAAGTTCCAGATGAAACCAGGGAAGGTTCCAGATGACAGCAACTTTTTCTGGTCAGTGACCTCACATGACCTAGAACATACCTGAGAGAAAAACACCAGTGTTCTTTCATTTCATAATAAAACTTAGCATCTTGTGTCAAATTGTCATAACCCACAACCCCACCTATGACTACGTGAGGCTTTGTGGGGCCAGATATAAAGGGTAGAGAGGGTGGGCAGTAGGATCTGCAATTCGGCCTCCTTCCTGAGACTGGCCTGGGGCACCAGGATGACAGACTGGAGAATAACTTTTTTTGTGGGTGCATTGTCTCCGGCAGGAACTGAGCCTCAAACCCGTATGTGGCTTCCACACCGCAGACAAGAGAATAGCGTGACACAGGGACTCAGCTGCCCCTGAGCTCCAGATCCCTGTGGCCAATTCCTTCTCCATGCTGACCTCCTTTTGCATGAATGCAGGTTTCTCAAATTGAGCATGCCCAGAACTCAGCTGTCCCCTGACTCATCCTCCCCAGGGCACAGGGTGAAAACCCCGGAGTCTATGAGGCTCATTGTTCCTTCAGCCACAGAGCCAGCACAGAGTCCTGCTGCCTGCACTCATGGGCCTGAAGCCCTCTGGTGTCTCCATGCCCACCCCGAGGGACCCAGTCTCTGCTGCAGCTCTGCCATGGCCTCCTACGTTCCCCTCGTTCTTCCTGTGGCCACCCTCCCCCGTCTTTTAGAATAAGCCATAGGGTCTTTGCTGGGTCTCAGAAAATGGATAGAATTGGGAGAAGTGAATAGAGAGTTGGAATCTTGCAGGTGGGACACCTCCTAGGTTAAAGTGAGGGCAGTGTCTGGGGCCTAGCATCAGCATCCGGCCATGGCTCAAGGCACAAGGGACTGCTTACAGTCTCCCTACCAAGGCAGACGATGCTGCAATGCAAACCTAACCACCAGAAAGGCCCAGCCCATGTGCGGCCTCCCTGCCACCTTGCCGCTGCACCTGTCACACTTATCCACACGACCCTCACACCCAGCCCAGGCAGCTGTGTGTGAAAGTGCCAGAACCCCGAGGAGAGAGGGTCCCTTCTTTCATTCAGATTCTTTTTTTTCTCTGATGGTTATTTCACTTGGCCCAAAAACACATGGTGAACGTTTTCAACACTTGTTAAAATATTGAACAGTTAGGATTTAAATAGGAACACTAATGGGCAAACAGCATTTCAGTTTTCTGTGATCCATTTGTTTTCCCTGAACTGCAGTGGATACTTCTGCTAATTAAATGATGGTCTATTATGAGATTGCCCAACTTGTCTCTGTTGGAACCTAAAAAGCAGAATGGGGCCAGTTAGAGGAGGCATCTGGAAGGTCTTCGAGGCATCAGACCCCAAGCCTCTGTCCACTCCCATTGCCATGGTGATGGAGGTGGCTAAGCTGTGGATGGAGGGCGAGAGGGGACAGGTTGCTGAGCACTGTTTCAAGTTCTGTGCTGACCGGCTAGGTGTGGCCCACGTGTTACAAAGCCGCGTAACTAGACTCAAGAATGGCCCAGTATTTCCTCTTCCTTCTAGACCTGTTTGTCTCCAAGTAGACAGATGAGCTGAACTCAGTTTTAGGACCTTCCCTCTTGGGACTATGGGGCTGTGATTTGAAGACTTACCATTCTATCTCTTCTTCCTATAAAGGGAAGGAAATAGATTTGTGAAAGTGGAACAGTGATCTCCTCTGAAAACACCTGTGCTTGTGCCCCAGGAGCCCCTAACTCTAAGGCAGAGTTCCTTGGGGGAGGGGAGACACCCAGTCATTTTTTTGTCACCGGCTATTTAAGTCATACAAGACTCAAAAGTCATTTTTGTCAGTTATTTTAAAGAATTAATGTTCACTAAAGATGTGAAAAAGAATCAAGAGGCCTCTTCCAAAATGAAAAGGAATATTGGATTTTGGGGAGAAAAATTACACCAAGCAAACAGGGAGCCTGAGCTCCACTGATCAGGTTACAGAAGTTCATCCTCGTGCAGTTCTGGAGGCCGGACAGCCAAGGTCCCGGTGGTGACCGAGCTGGCTCTTCTTGGGGGATGTGGGCTCTGCTTGGGGCCTCTCCCTTGGCTGCTGGTAGTTGCTGGCAATCTTTGCTTTAGAGACACCCCACTGGGCACTCTCTGCCTACATTTTCACATGATATTCCTGTGTGCTCATCTCTCTGTCCACATTTGTAGGGTCACAGTCATTTTGGATTCAGGGCCACCCTCATGACCTCGCTTTAACTTGATTACCTCCTTAAACACCCGACCTCCCCATGAGGTCCAATTCTGAGGTCCTGGGGATTAGAATGTCAACTGAGAGATTCTGAGTGGATGAAAGTCAACTACGACAGGGACAGTAAGTTCAAAGGTTAATATTAAAATGTTCACTTTGGATTTTATTTAAAAATCAATGCAACTTTCAGAAATAAAGTTCAGAACAGGCCAAATGGTCTGTGCTACTGGAAATCAAAATGGTAATTACTTTGTGCACAGAAAGGCTGGGAGAGGCCTGACTGGGGTTTGTTTCTTGACTGGGTGCTGTTTCCAATGGGTGTTTTTGCTGGTTGTTGTTGTGTGTGATACTGGAAATTGAACCCAGGGCCTTTGTTCTAAGCTACATCTACAGCTCTTTTTAAATATTTTTATTTTGAGACAGGGTCATGCTAGGTTGCCCAGCTAGGCTTGATCCTGTGTCTCAGCCTCCCAGGGTGCTGGGATTACAGTCATGCGCCATCACCCCTGACTTGTTTTTGCTATTTGAGACACACTTTGAGCTGCCTGCTCCTCATTAGAACGCTCCTCTGTTCTGAGCCTTAGACTTTAATAAAAAGCATACCTGGAAAATCTAGTTGGCATATAAATCAGGACATCTACCACCTACTTCCACTATGATTTAGGGGTTTGATTTTTTTTTCCTCTATGTATAAACATTGAGGTGAATAATTTTCAGTCAGAGCTGGGAGGAGGGGGTGGTAGGGGTAGAGTTTAGAGAATACACAGCAGGTGTGACTTAATTGTTGAAAAATGGTGCTTTTCACAGGCCTCCTTGGACACCTGGACCAGAGACTTTGAATTCCATGCTGTGCAGGTAAGAGCTTGGGAGTTCTGGTGTGTTAACTCAGTGTGGCTAGAGAAACAGACACATTCAGGATACAGGCCTCTCTTCTCTGTCTCTCTCTGTCTCTGTCTCTCTGTCTTTCTCAGACACACACACACACACACACACACACACGCACACACACGCACACACACACAGACTAGGGGAAGGGGGAAGTTGGGCCTTATTTTATTGAGTTGGTTCACCCAATCCGATCGTGGGGGCTGGCTAGTCCAAAATCTGCAGAGCAGGCCAGAAGGCTTGAGACTCAGGGGAGAGCTGGTGCTACAGTTCAAGTCCAAAGGCATCTAGAGGCACTTTTTCCTGTAGACCTTCATCTTTTCTTTTGCCTAAGGCTTTTGCTTGGCTGGATGGGACCCACCCTCATCATGGAGGATAATCTACTCCATATCTTCTGATTTAAATATTAATATCTAACAACTTCCTTCTCAGGAATACCTAGACTGGTATTTGACCAAACAGTTGGGTACTGTGGCCTACCTGACTTGACCAATGAAATTCATCACCACATCAGATCCTAAGGACTGGCCAGTCTCAGTGCCAGGGTTAGGGCCTGCAAACCCGTATCATCTTTGTGGGTTAAAACGTGCAGAATCCTGCTGAGTGAGGGTTTATCAGTCCCCTCAAAGAGATGGGTGCTCTCTATGTTGACTTGATTGTGTTTCAGTTGTCTTGCTAGAAATACACACCTGTCTTTGCCTTCCTATTTCTACCTTAGTAAGAGATGGAACTCATAAAACAGGGTTTCCTGGTTCTGTGGCCTAATTTACGAACCAGGCTTTCTTTTTATTAATTCGCTCGTGGTTTTTTTTTTTTTTTTTTTTTTTCCTACAGTAAAATCAGGCTTTCTCTTATGCAAGGGGTAACAAGGAGTCAAGACCAATCAGTCAGTGACAGCTGGCCCCTGGGCCATCCCAGGTGTTAGTGTGTAGCATCTGGTGCCGATGCTCCATACAGCTGTACAAGGCTTCCTAATCATCAGGTTAATCAGCAACTCCAGCAAACCCCACCTTGGAGCTAGACTTGATAGAGTTACTCAGAGAACACAACTTTGCTGGCCTTAGGCCCCTGGGCTCCTGTGCTGCTAGAATCACTTTCCAGTCCCTTCTTAGGAAGCAGAGAGGCCAGTTTCCTGAGCAGTGGGGCTTCCTCTCCCTGTTAAATTAGTTCATTTGCTATTCATACAATGAAGCAGATGCAATGTGGATTCGTGCTTATCCTCAAAGAGCCAGAAAAGACCCACATTTGATCACAGAAAAGGAAACAGTTAACTAAAAATCAGAGACATGCCCAAGATCCCTCAGCAAATTATAGAAAGAGTGGGGAGTGGATTTTAGATGTCCAGACTGTCAAGCTACTACCATGGCGGTATTCTGGAAGCTCTAGGAAGGAGCCATAGTCACACTGCAGGGGCTGTCACACTCTCAGTAGCACAGCTATCAGGGAAGAGTGCAGGAAGTACCAGATCCCTGAAGGACCGAGCCTCCTCCTCTCATTGGCTGCCGACACCTGTGAACATTTCTCCCCAGTAGCCCGGGGGACCAGCACCCCCTGGCTACTTCTTTTGTTTCATCAAATGGTACAAGACACTCAGAGAGTTTTAGGGGGGTAGATAATCCTTTATGGTGCTGCATTTTCAAAGTACCCAGTTTTGTAAATGTCCATGCACATTTCCAGTGGGTGGAAACAGTTGATAGAGAACAAAGAGCTGTACTGTGGGCGGCATGCATCTGGGCCTTGTGCGGTCCCCTCTCCAATCTGCCTTGAGGATGCAAGACTGCACTGCGGGTGCAGAGAAGATGCGCCCAGAGCCCAGAGCTTAAACTTTGCCATGAGCTCCGAGGCCTACGTGGATGCTGGGAGCACTGGCTAGGGAAGATCAGGGGGAAACTGGGTCCCTGCAGGCTGCAGCATCGCTGGGTGGGGGTCATGCCTGTGCAAGAAAAGTGGTACTTAGTCCCTCCGAAGATCTTTTTCTGTTACATAAAGCAGTTTAGTGTCCTGCTTCTCAGGAAATTTCTTTTGGAGAAAATAGACCATGCAAATAAAAAGGTGTGATTAGGTGATCAGTTGCATTTAGTAACCTGTGCTCAGAGGGTATGAGATCACCTGGTTGTAAACAAACACATTGCTTCTGTGCAGTTGATCCTTCTATGTGGACAAGCCCAGGCTCTCCTGTCTTTTGGGGTGGTCAGGAGTGAATTCTTGACAGGTCACTAGAAACTGGTTACTATGAGATCACAGATTCTTGTACCGGAAGAGGACATTTTGAGAGCTTGGGGACTCAAAGTCTCAAGGTGCCTCCATTTGCTACAGATGACTCTAGTATATTTTTATGGCAGAGTAGTATTCTGTTGTGTATAAATACCATATTTTCTCTATCCATTCATCTGCTGATGAACTCCCACAATTTAGTGAACATGAGTTGTGCTGCTATAAACATGGGTGTGCGTCTGTGAGATACGATGTCTTTAATTCTTTCAGAAAGATTCCCAAGATGGGAATAGCTAGCTGGGTCCAGTGGAATTTCTTGTTCTGGTTTTTTGAGGAATTTGCATACAGATTTCCATAGTAGTTGTACTAGTTTACATTCCCATCTTACATTACAGTGTTTTCCTGTTTAATGTGTTAACAGGTAGAAATGGTGACTTTCAGAGCAAGGCAAAGAAAGAGAGTAGGGGAGAGAGGGAGAGGGAGAGGGGGAGAGAGAGAAAGAGAGAGGGAGAGAGAGAGAGAAGAAAGACAGAGAAACTGAACTACAGGAAGAAATTTTTCCAGACTTCAAAACATATCAGTCTTGTTCCTTTGGAAGTGTGTGTGTTTGTGTGTGTGAAGCTTCTTCTATGCCTTAGAGGAAGTGGCCTGTAAATGTCTCATGGAAACAGAGGAGCACAAAGCAGTAGAGAATCATGACTGTCCTTTCCTGGCCTTGACCAGGGGGACCCAGGGCACAGGGGTCCCTTCTGTAGTGTCCTAGATGGCTTCATCCCTTTGCTGCTGCTCCTGAGAGTGGGTAATTTATAGAGAACAGAGATTTCTTTCTTATATTTTTGGATGCTGGGAGGACTGAGCATATCAGAATTTGTGCAGGGCATCACGAAGTTAGGATTTTTTTTTTTTTTTTTTTTTTGGAATTGAGAATTGAATTCAGGACCTCATGCTTGCCAGGCAGGTGCTATGCTGCTGAGCTATATCCCCTGCCTATTGAGCTATACCTCCCAGCCCCATTACATGGTTAGGAAACATGCCAAGAGATGCAGAAAAATCCACCTGGACTCACCCTTTTATTTGGAGCCCACTCCTGTGATAACTGACATTCCCATGAATATACTGTTCCTTCTGGAGGGTAGAACCCATATGACCTAATCAGCTTTTAAAAGCCCCAGTTCCTTGAGTATGTTATATTTTGTTTTTGAAATGAGATCTCATCACATTCCCAGCTTGGTTTTGCATTCCTATCCTAAGTGGTCCTCCTGCCTCAGCCTCCCCAGTAGCTGGGACTAGAAACACAAAACTCCATGCTCTACTTCCGGATGTACCTCTTAATACTGTTACAGTGGCAATTAAATTTCAACACAGACTTTGGAGAAGCATTCAAAGCCTAGCACCAGAAAACAACCTGGAGCCACTTCCATGGCACACTTTCAGGAGCTGGAGGCCATCAGGAGGCTCCTCTGTGCAGCTCTGTGTGGTCTTCCTCTTCCCCCACTGGCCCAGGCTTTGAGAGGGCTGTGTCACATCAAGGGTTTGCAGCATCAAGCTGGCAGCTTTGAGAATCTGAGTTTTCTGTCTGCTCCTGGGTGAATTATTTAACCACCCCAGGCTGTTGCCTCATTTGTAAAGGAGAAAACGGAATCCACCTCATTGTGCACTCTGCACCACTGTATAGCGGGCTCCTCATGGTGGGTGACAGCCGTTCAGGTGCCAAGGAAGCACCACCTCTTGTTTCATTCTGTGAGTCATTTTGGCTGAGTTTTAGGCCCAGGACCTGTTGCCTCTGGAGATGGCTCTGAAGGCCTCACCTCCTTCCCCAGTTTCCATTTCCTCCCTGTTGGTTTTCCCCGGACAAAGCAGGCCCTGCTCAGCAGCGGCATTGAACACCCTCTTCAGAAAGGGCACTGTTATGAAAGTGCAAAGATGTGTTTCCTTGAGAAGCTCTTCAGCTACCTACATGAAAAATAGATGAGCTCTCTTGAATTGCAAATGCTCTTCAAGTTGAAGGCAAAAATGTGGAAATCTGTCTTCTTTCCTCAGCCAGGGCGAGGTCAGGGATGCGGTTGCTTGCGTTTCCCAGTAAACATCAAGGACCTCGAGGGCCAGGAAAAGAACTTCTCAGTGGCATCACCCTTCCCAGAAAGTCGAACTCAGTTAATTTGAATTCAGTTCAGTTTCCACTGGCCTTTTTTTTTTTTTTTTTTTAAGGTTTCAATAGCTATGTATTATGCTGTCTCTAAGTACTTGGCTTTATGGCAGAGGCTGTGGGGTTGAAGATACTTCAGATAGTCAAGTTCACTGCGATCAGAGGGGTTACAAGCCGGTGCACATAGGCAAGGTTTTTAGCAAACAGGTTGCATACACACAAGTTTTTAGTTCTCAAGCAAGTGCTTATATGCCCAGAGGGTAGCAAGGTCCAGAACCCATCCAGGACTGCTCAGGGCTCCGTGGCTTTGTCCACCTATGTTGGATACTTCCTTGACTTCATGATGTTAAAATGCAAAGCAGCTATGTCTCAAGCTGCAAAGTCACTATTGTGAGTGGAACCTTAAGCCACTACTTTGCAAATGTATGATCAAAACTACGATGGATGTTTATATAAAATACATCTCTTACAACAAAAGACATACTGCCGTGAATCCCCCTCAGGGTACTCCTCACTTCAAACACACTTAGCCCGTTGTCCCTGTCACTTTCTGCTGCGGTTCTGGAAGTTGTCATTCCTGGCTGCTTTAGTGTTCTGGGTGACTTCAAAGCCTTCCAGCAGTTTCTCTCAGATGCAAGCATGGCCATGTGTCCTCACCCACCTTATCTATTGGATCTGCACTATGTGCCTGCTGGCTCTTCATCAAAGTTAAAATGACCAGGAAAGATAAATATTGGAGTGAGTTCAGGGCCTCAGGGCAGCCACAACAGCGCAGATAGAGGCACTCATGGAAGGGGACTTGAAAAGTGGGGGACAATGGGATAAGGGTGCTCAAAGTGAAGGGGAGAAGTTTGAGGAGGTTAAGGGCGATTTACTATCATAAATTTTAAAAATTGAAACATCCACTTACTTTCGACCATGTAGAAGCCTCCAGAAGTCTTTCTTTTTCTTTTCTTCTGTTTTATCGGTGTGTGTTTGTGATGCATGGTGACTGCATTTCCCATGGGGAGTCTGGGTCTGCGCCTATCACAGCCCGGCCCTTTTGCTTTACCACCCCTCGCTGCCCTCCCATCTTCTCCCACCCCCAGATCCTCTTCCATTGCACAGCATCACTGCTCTGTTTCCTATCAGTATCTCTTTTTGTCCTTTAAATTAATTAAATTTGGGGTTTCTCAAATAAGAGGAACCGTGCGATATTCACCCCTCTGTGTCTGCTTTACCTCACTTGGCATTATAGTCTTACGGTGCATCCATTTTCCTAAAAATGACTCACGTTTCCTCCTTCAGGGCTGAGTCTTGGTCTGCTTTCCTTGAGTTTGTTCAGCTCATTGAGGAGTAAACGGCCTCCTAGGGTGGCCTTGTCCTTGTTAACATGCATGACATGAGGCCATGGTGGGGACGGCACAGCTGAGCCTCAGCTGTTTTGCTCGGTCGAGACTTGGGAGCCTGAAGGATTGAACAGCTGGAGGTTTTCTATCTGCTTGGATGACTTCTTGAAGAGGGGTCCCATTCTATATTCTCAGGCATGTATAAGTGTATGTGTTTGCTTCTGATTTTAAGGACAAAAAGCCCAAAGAACAAGAGAAGAAAGGAGACTTTCTTCATCGACCCTTTTCCAAGAAGCTGGACAAGAATCTGCCCTCGCACAAGCAGCCCTCCTCAGCCTCGCTCATCACGCAGATTCAGAACACCAAAGCCCTGCTGAAGGACCGGAAGGCCACCAAACCTGTCTTCCCCGACAAAGGTGCGTCAGCCCTGGAGACCCTGGTGGTTGCTCGCTTCTACCAAGCTGTGTCTGCTGTGCACCCCTCACCCGGGTGCTGTGCACAGCAGGTGGAAAGCAGAGCAGAGAGAAAGCTGTATGCACACATCTACAGCAATGGGAGAACTGTGCACGGCCAGCCCAGCTGTGGGGTACTAGCCACCTGCAGGAAGCGTTTGAGAGATCAGGGTACCGGGCATTTTGGGAGGAGAGATTGGAGTACACAATATTGTAGAGCAGAAACGAGGTTCTGGCATTGTGGGGACAGATACTTGGGTGTTTAGAACTGTGGAAATAGAGCCTGGGGTGCACCATATTGTGGGAGCAGATATTAGGGTGCATGGTATCATAGATCGCAGTAAGAGTATAAGGTGTTACAGGAGAAGAGACTGGGGTATACAGATAGGTGTACAGGATCTGAGACTGAGACACAGTTTTACAGGATGGGTCATGGTGTGTAGGAGTAGAGACCCCACAGAGTGCAGAAACAGAGATTGCGTTAGGAGCAGAGTGACAGTGGTGCACCTAGGTATAGATTGGGTTTGGTTTCGTTGGAATCTTGCTTAGAAAAGTGAGGCAGTGAGTCATGACCGAGTCTGGGCTTTGGGGTGGGGTAGGGTATTCAGAGCCGAGTTCAAATCCCAGCTGTACCACTTGTAGGCACAGAGTTGCCATTGGTGTCCTTGCTTGTAAGAGCTCCTGCCTGTTGGCAGTGTTGGGTGAATGAAATCAGACAGGTGTAGAAGTTTCTCTGTGTGATTTTTGGAATCCAGCACATGGTAGACAGCTGATTAATACGAGTCTCCCTGGTCTAGGATGAGAATTGAAGTAGAAAGGAGTTCAGTAGGCACAGGTTTAGCACACACAGGAGAAACCGAAGGAGTTACATGGGAGCCATGCAGCCGTGAGCTTGAGGAGACGTTCTGCTAACTGAGAGCATCATGGAGTCACAGCATCCAATCTCTTTGTTTCAAATATGAAGAACAAAAGTTCAGAGTGGGCCATGCCCAGCTAGAGGTAACTCAGGTATGCTGAGCACTCAGTGGGATTCCTGGCCAGTGGCCACTGTCCCCATGTTGTACAAAACCTCCAGCCTTCCTAGTGTAGAGTGTGCAGCAGACCTTGGTGGGAGGCACCGTGCACTGACTAAAACTGGGACATTTGCCATTAACAAAACTTTAGCTTTTTATGATGATGAATTTCAGGCATCTGAGCTGCCTGAGGAGGAGAAGGAGGAGTAGGTTTGTTTTGGTGTCTGTGTTTATTTATGTAGGCAAGGAAGAGTCCCTGTACGCCCTCTGTTGCGCCCCAAACCACTCCCTTGCTCCTGCAGCTGGGCTTCTGTGGGACCTATAAAAACGTTACACAGAAAAAAGCACCAAAGGCACAGCTCATTCTGCATGAATTTGGCTGTGTTTCCCTCTGCTCCAAGTCTGTAGGGGTTTCCCCTCTCTTCTGGCCCAGTTTGCAGACCTGGATTCCAATCTGCTCCCCCCGGAGGTGAAAACTGTGTGGACTGGCCAGTTACCGGAACTGCAGAGATGTGCTGTCCTATGAGAACTGGATCTGGATCCATTGAGATCAAAGTCATGAGGGAGCCTAGGCAGGGAGAGAAATCCTGACAGGATGAACCTGGGAACACTGTGCTGAGCGAAATGAACCAGTCACAGCACGGCACACACTGTGTGATTCTGCTTGTGCAGAAAGTAGAACGGTGGCTGCCGAGGGGGACAGAGAGGAGAAGGGGGAGCTGGAGCTTAGCAGGCGCAGAGGGTTAGATCTGCAAGGTGAAAACGGCTGTGGAGATGGTGCAACAGAGTGGATATACTTAATGCTTCTGTACACTTAAAATAGCGAAGATGATACATTTTCTGCTATGTATTCATACTACGATAAACTAGGGCTGAGGGTATCTAAGAGAAGGCTTCTCTGAGTCAGATGATCAGACTTGTAGGGGTTCAGTGAGTCAGGCTGCACACCCTTCCAGAAGTTTTATGGATGTCCTGTGGAGTGCATGCATATTTTTATCCAACGCGCCTTTGGCAGGGTTTAAAATGTTAAGTAACCAAACAAGAAGTCTGTATTAAGCTGAGGCCTCGTGTCACCAGCTTCCTGTCCCCTCTGTCCTAGAAAGACTGTTGGGCCTCTGAGGAGTGACTGGATGCTACAGCTGTCTCTCTCCAGTAGCTAAGCTGTGTCGTTCTCACCTCCTCCTGCCATTCAAGGGTCACTGACTCAGTCAAGCTGTTGGTCCGGGCTGGGAGGAAATGGGCTCTGTGCACCGTTTCTGTGGCTGTCATGATTTTATTTGTTTTCTTGATAATGCAGACTCCTTTGGCTGCCGTGGTATTTTCCGGAAGACCTCCGATTCCAATTGCGTGGCCTCTTCTTCCATGGAATTTATCCCTGTCCCACCTCCCAGAACCCCCAGGACCCTAAAAAAAGTGGAGTCCCATCAGCAAGGGCCTGGGAGCGCCAGCATCCCTGCCAAGGAAGACCCCCTGATGCTGGACATGGTGCGTTCCTTCGAGTCTGTTGATCGAGATGAGCACATAGAACTCCTGTCCCCATCCCATCGCTACAGGATCCTGAACTCACCAGTGAGCTTGGGTCGCAGGAATTCCAACGAGAGGACACTTTCCCCACTGCTGCTGTCTGGAAGTACGTCACCTCTCCAGACTCCTTTGCATTCCACTCTGGTCTCTTTTGCTCACGAAGATAAGAACAGCCCCCCAAAAGAAGAAGAGGTATGTTCTCCGCCTCCAGTTTCCATCAGTGGCCCCACGCAGCCTCTGGGGAGCCCCAACTGTGTCAAGAGCCGGGGCAGGTTCCCCATGATGGGCATTGGACAGATGCTGCGGAAACGCCACCAGAGCCTGCAGCCCTCTGTGGAGAGGTCCCTGGAGGCCAGCATGCCTCCACTGCAGCCCATGGCCCCCAGCAACCTCGCCTTTGACCTGGCTGATGGGGTCAAGGGCCAATGTTAACCTGGACCAGTGAGATTCTGGGTCTCTGTAAAGAAAGCAGCAGAGCAGAACTCCACACATCTGTCAGAGTGTGAACAAGGACCTCTTGTATGCCTGTCATGGAACCTCAGATCAGCCCAAATCCACACACCCAAAGCCTGCACAACCCAGCCTCACCTAGGGACTCCTGAGATGCTGGAAATCACCAGGAGGGCTGGCAACGGGGGCAGTCGATTCCAGTCACAGACCGTCCTTCCTTCCACCCACTCACCAAGCCCTCTCTATTGCACACTACTGGGCTCCGGGCTGAAAAACACACATCAGACTAGACTGACCTAGACTGTTACAGATCTTTGTTCCCTCTGTGCTGTTGGGTACCTCTCAGCAATTGCTGTCTGCTCTGCAGTCGGGCCCAGCCTCAGAGGGACTCGGCATCCAAGGTCTGCCATCAAGGCCACAGTTTCCTTTGGACTGAAGTGGCCTTTCTCTTGGTAACTAACAGCAAATCTCTGCAGCTCGTTAGGAGCAGTGACTCGAGTGCTAACCGAAGAGGAATGCAGAGCAGCCCCTTAGAGTAAAGATGGAGTAGTCTGGACCTGGATGTAAGGAAAGAGCTGAAGGAAACACCCATCCCGAGAAAGACTTTGGCGGTGGCGGTGGCGGTGGTGGCGGGGGGGGGGGGACTTGCTAATGGCTGAACAATCTTGTCCAAAGAATTGTTTTCTTGATGGGGTGTCATTAAATTGAAATCATGTGATTTTTAGGAACCCAGCTGGAGAAATGAAAAACAGTCTCACCAAAATCGTATTTGCCAGCAAGAACGCAGCCCAGAGGGCAGAAAAGCTGGCTCAGGTGGTTTTCAATGGCATTCGACCAAAGTGGCCTGCAGGAGGGGCAGGATCCCTATCGCCCAGTGCTCGTCCTGCTGTACCAACAGGGCCACCGTCCTCCTAGAAGGCATGAAGCTAGCCGGTTCTTTGCAGACAGAGAAAGAATGTTCAGCATGATTCATATGCGGAAAAGGAAACATTACCTCTGTGTTCACACAGGAAAGAAGTGTGATTTAGAGCTCAGCTCGTCTGCGGTGAACTGAGAACAGCTTGCCGGGCGGGGAACATGTTCGAGTACAGGACACTTGCTTCTTCCAGGACCGCAGCGTCCCCCAAGCAGGGTTCCGTCTGTGTTGTGTTCTCACACCTTTTGCCAAGGATTGAACCAAAGATGTGTCTCCACTTCTGTGGCTGTGCTGTCCTTGTGTGTGCGTTTGTGGACCCTAGTGTGGTCTGGCTGCATCCGGCTGGAGCCTGACGGGTACTTTCTTCACAGAAGGCCTGGGCCTGGCCTTCAGTCATGGGCAGAATTGCGAGAAGGGAAAAAGAGCGGCACGCTTTGGAATGAGTGGAGTGGGATGGACTGGTTGGATAGCAGTCAGGTTAGGAGATGGGTGATGGAATGGCCTAGAATCTTCAACTATTTTTTATCCCCCTCCCCCTCCGCAGTACTAGAGATTGAATCGAGGGCTAGAAAAATGCTCAAGCGCTGAGCTGTGACATTGGCCCTTTTTATTTTTTTATTGTGAGACAGAGTCTCAGTTTCCCAAGCTGCCTTTAAACTCGCCATTCTTTTGCCTCAGCCTCCCGAGTAGCTGGGATAACCGGCATGCGCACTATTTCCGAAAGTGTCAGCTTCTTACTAGTATGGATGTTACCAGAGGCTCCACTGTGTCCACTCGGCTAGGTTGTTCCAGTCTGTTGATTCCAAAGTGGGCCAAGTCCCTTGAGAACGGCAAACAGGCCTTCTTTTCCCCAGCAGGGAGCCCTCTGCCAGCAGAGGCGTCCTTGGGGCCCTCCCAGCTCTGACTAAGTGAAGAGAGACCAGATCTCTAGTTAACTGCAGAAGCTACCCAGCTGTGCTGGCAAGACCTGGGGTTACTCAGTCCCTTGGACAGTAATCACCCCATCTCTAAGGCTACATTAGGCAGACATCAGTCTCCTGGCTGTTGGTGTTATTCCTTTGTGTAGTTTCAGAGCAGTTTCTGAACTTTACTCTCAAAATAGAGCTTTTTAATCAGAGAAAAGAAAAGAATCGTCCAGTAGATCCTCTCTCTTTTTGAAACGCCATGCTTGCTTTTCAGTGGGTAGAGAAGCCTTCCATCTAGATGGCGTCCGCCTGTAACTGCCTCTCCAAACAGGCTGGGAACGTGTGGACCTGTGCACACATTCGCCTGTCCACCTTTGTCCACCTTTGTGTCTTTTTTCTTGCATTTTACTTTCCTCGCCAGCCTGCGTGTTTCCATGCCGCCGTTAGCTCGTGGAGAGCGTGTTGATCATTCTTCGAGAGCGGCTGCAGATGTGGGACTGCCAGCCTGGGTTGCCCTTGGCAACGCGGACTCTGAGCTCAGGTTTACTCTGAACCAGTGAGAAGAGAAGGGAGCCGGGAGAGGGAATAAGCTGTATGTTTGGTGTGGGTGAGCACCTAAGAAATCTATGAAACCAAGTGAAAGGAAAAAAAATGTTAAATTCTTTATTATTTTATTATATTTATATGGAAAACTTGACCATCCCTTTGGTAAGTACAGAGTGTGTTGTCTGTCTGGCTCATGACTGTCTCTCAGTTTGTCGGTGCCTGTGATTGCAGTCAGCCTCTGGCTGCTGATGGACATGACCCAACTGCCGTGGGGCTAAAGTTAAGGAGGAAAAGTCCATTTTAATTGTATGATTTGGTCATAAATAAGGACCATATTTATGTCACCTTTATTGAATATATGTACTTTTATAATGACTGTGAAATACACTTTTTCCTCACTATGACTGTTTTCTTTATTTGATGATAAATCTGAAAGCATCACATATGTTGCCAAGAGAACAGTCAATGGCTTAAGTTCTTGGGGGTCCAGTAGACAAAATAGAGCTAAGTGGGGGCTGAGCCGTGAGGTGCTAGGGAGTTTCCCACTGCAGCATTCCGGCTGTGTCTCACTTGTCGCACAAGGTCTGTCTGCACAAGGCTGTCCCATGTACTGCGAAGGGCAGTTGGAGGTGAGGCAGCACTTTGTGGTTTTCAGGGCTCAGGATTTCTCTTGGTGACCCTGAAGTTGGGGTGTAGAATGGTGAATGCTGCGTCAGGGAACTGTCCTTGTTTTAGGCCCGGCTGAGAGTGGTAGGGTAAGATTGCGGAGTGGGGTGGTGGGTAGATCGGCCATTTGGCTCAGTTATGGCTTCATGAACTACTCACGAAATGTTTTTTTGGAATGTGCTCCCTTGTTCCAGCGTGTCCCCTTTCAGGGCAGAGAATGAAAGCTTGGGGAGTGGTGTGGCTAGAGAGGGGAGGGACCCCTTTCTGTTACTATCCAAAGCTCTCCAAAGTTTGATTGGGGAGATAATAGAACAAGTATCTAGTTTCAATATTTTCTTGTATGAAACACAACCCTTTTAAACAGGCAGGAACCTGACAGTTTCTGGTCCAGTTTCTTTTGATGAAGAGAAGCTCGGGACTTCCAGTGGGTTAAGGACATCCTAGAGTCCTGCATGAGCTGGCACCAGGACCTGGCTAGAGTGTGTCCTTGAGAATGCAGAGACATCAGAGTAGCCACTGCGGTCAGAGGGCAAAGCTGTCAGCAGATTGAGCTCTCATTGCCGCAGGTATTTTTGAGGTTCCTCTGAGGACTTGGTCTTTGCCTTTTTAAGTGAGTCTCAAAATTACGTGACTTCTTGAGATTCTGCACAGTTTTGAGTATAACTTTCCTAACCCTGCCAGTGCTTCACATCACCCTCTTTCTAGCACCCGCCAGCAAATCTCAAACCTGGAGATAGCTTTCTTTTTGGACTCTCTTCCTTGATAGATCTCCTGAGCAAGCACCAACCTTTGACTGGCCTTGTTATCTATGTTAGCTATCAAAAGGCATTGGGTTTTCCTAGATTAAGTCATTTGAACTGTTTACATATAGCTGTATCATAAAGTAGGACAATTTCAGAAAGAATGCAAGACTGATATATTTAGTGGGGGAGGTCTGGAAGCCTCTTGGTTATTGTATTTGTTTCCTTTGTAGGATCTTCCATGTGCCACGGGCACGGCGAGAATAGCTGAGAGCCATGCTGGGAGCTGGTTCAATTTAATGTCATCACTTTTCAATGAAAGGAGCATGTTTCCTGAGTAGTAAATGAGTGTATTATTTGTGGCAGCTTTTTTTTTGGTCAAGGGAGCTTTTTAAACATCTGGTTCCAGAGACAAGTGGGGTACATATTTGTGTTTCTTCCCTGTAGATGTGTTTTTACAGCACCTGGTGAGGTCCAGGGTTTGCTGTCTGTGAGCACACAAGCATGGAGGGTGGGGCAGGGCAGGCAATGGGCGTTGACAGACTGAAGCATCTCAGGCTTGGCAGCCCCCTCCCCCAGGTATGCATGCCTGATCTGGCATGCAGATAATGAGGCAGCCTCATCCAGGAAGCAAACTCTGGGATCAACTGGAATCCAGTGGTTTATTGTGAAAAGGTGGTCCTCTGAGGCTTGGACAAAGGCCAGAAACTGTTGTTCACAGGTAAAAAAGTTAAATGGCTCTAACTTACAGGCCTGAGCTACTTGTATTCCTTTCTCATTCAGAAAAGCAAAGGCTTTAACTTAGATTTAAGTTCTGTACTCTTAACGCAAATGTGTGCTTTCTTGACCTGTTATCACAGCCTCCTGGAAAAGGGCTAGTTAGGGAACCAGGCTCCTCCAGCGTTGGGCAGCACATTCATGGCAGGGTTAAGCCATGACCCACTGGCACCCAGTATGTTAGACTGGTCAGGCTTTGCTTTCACAACACATTCTATGAATTGTGAAAACAATAAAGATTTGTTTCCTTCACAGTTTTCTGAGGCTCGCTAACTCCAAAGCAGTTGTGCTTTAGGTGGTAACTCAGGGATTCAGGCTGTTTCTGGCTCATGGCTTCACTGACTTAAGCTTTGGGGAGAGTCTTCCACCAGCCTCGAGTGCTCTTTAAAGAGGGTATTATATCCTCTCACCACCCACTGGCTCAGTCAAGTCATGTGGCCTTGCCTGTAAGCATAACGCTGGGAAATGAGGGGGAACATATGCCATTGTGGGGTACAGTTAATATTTCTGCCACCATGGGAAAGGTCCGGATGCCTGCCACTTAAAAATTCCCTCATTGTCGCACAATGACAGCTCTTCTTTCTGCATGAGGGTTACTTTTTCTAAAGACATTAGATTTGGTAAATTTTAGCATCTTATTTAACTTAAGGGCAGCATTTTGACTGAATCCTGTCCTCCGCAAATTTCTGTGTTGAAGCTGTAGCCCCCAGTACATTGAGAATGTGATCACATTGGAAGACAGGACATTTAAAGACACAAGGTAAAATGAGGCCATGAGGGTGGAACCTAATCTTATCCAACTAGTATGCATATAAAAAGAGACAAAAGGACCCCGGAGAGAAGAAAGGCCGCATCAGGACAGAAAGCCACTGTGTGTTGTGTTGTCTGAGGCATCAGGAGGAACCTCTGCCAACCCTTGATCTAGACTTCTAGACTGCAGAACTGTGAGAAAATACATTTTTGTTATCATTCACTGAGCAGGTCACAGCAGCCCTAGCAGCCTAACAAGGAGGGAAGGTAAAATAACAATATTTATATAGTCTACAAGTCTTGCAAATTTTGTCTCACCTACTGAATTTGTTTACCCCTTAACTTCTTACCCCTTTGCACTGAGAAATTTCTGCTTTGAGGGTAAAACTCCACTTTTTCTGTGTTCCCCATGTGCTAAGCTCACTGTGCCCCCCCCCTTTTTTTTGAGAATATTTCTTCCTTTAATCCTAAAGCTTACTACCTTTTGCAAAGGACAGCTAGCAAATATTTTAAGTTTCAAAGATTGCTGTGTAGTCTGTTGTGTATTCTTGTTTTGTTCTTTTTTTTAATTTTTGTTTTTGTTGTAGAAGTATTTTGAAATGTGAAATCTGCTTTTATCTGGGGGACATACAAAAGCAGGCCTCAGCAGACTGAAGTTATCAGGTCATGTCGATGTCCGCTCCCGGCCGGCAGGAAGGACACACGACAAAGTCTGGTAGTGGACAACCTTTTCTTTTTATTTTCCTTCTCCGTACAGCCTGCCCTGGGTTCTCCCAGCTGAAGCCTCCTCTGGTCCGCTCCCCGCGGCTCCTTTTGTGCTTCAGTCTGCCCCAAAGCCTCTACCGGTCCGCTCTCCGCGGCTCCTTCTGGGCTTCTACTTCCGGGCTTCTTCCTGGCTTCTTCTTCCGCCCAGGGGTGGCACCGGTATATATACGGGTACAGTGTCCAATCATGTTAAAGTAAGCAAGGCAAGCTGATTGGCTAACATCATCAGTTGCCAGGCAGACTATATTGTTGAGCGGGTTGCTTACGCGGTAAGCAGGAAACTAACGTGCTCGATGGGAGGGGCAATCTACCTCAGGCTTCACTCTTTACTACAGGCCTCACGTCCGCCAAGTGAGGCGACCGGGCTCGGGGCTGCGGCTCCCAACATCTCCCCCTTTTTTATTTTTTATGAATGTGCGCATCGTAGCCCTTTCTGGACTGGGTGCAGAGGCTTATGCCCTATGCGTAGGCCCACCGTAGGTCCTTGGCTTAGACCCTGGTCGGCCGTCCCATGGTCTGCCAAGGCCCTGAGGCCCTCGTCCTTTTTCTAGGGCCAGGCACAAACTGGACGGAACCTGGATGCACACAAGCTTGCACTCATTTCCTCTCCGTAAAGAAATCCCCTCGGAGAGAAATTTAGACCTAGGCAGCATCTAACAGTCCAGCGGCTTACGTGCAGGATGGGGTAGGGCCTGGCTTAGGTCGAGTCGTGCTGGGGAGGCACGCTCTTACCCGTCATTGACTCACCTACCCTGCTGTGTATTGTCACCTTATGGAGGAGAATGAGGGATGCCCGCCATATCTAGACTCGGTCGTGGGCCAATTGAGCAAGCCATGCATATGCCTGAGGATCTTCTTGTCCATTTCGGGCTACCGCTATTTCTATTCATCTTATTGGTTGGTCTGTGATGGATCTCCAGTAGGGCAGGTCTGATCTTCAGTCGAGGGCTTTGTTGCCCGTGTCAGTCTCTCCGGTATCCACAGTGGTTCTCGTCCCGGTTCCTGTGGGAAAACACAAACCGCGCCTCGGTTCCAGCTGATTACCGGATCCGGGCCCATCCATTGTCCTGTCAGGACATCTTTCCACTTCACCCACCCTTTATGGTTGGGGGAAGGGTTGCAGTGCTCCACAGCTGGGGAGCGATTATCATTATTTAAATTTAAAAAATTGTGTGTGAATAGTGCCATGGATAATCGTGCCTTTGGGGCCAGGCCTTGGCCTACTCCCCCTTTTTGTTTTTTATTTTTATCTTTTTCGTTTTTTTTTTTTTTTTTTTTTTTTTTTTTTTGGTCTTTTTCAATTTTTATTGGTACCGGGGATTGAACTCACAACTGCCTGCTTGCAAAGCAGGCACTTTTGCCACTGAGCTAAATCCCCAGCCCCCATTTCCTCGACCGGCGTTTTTCTCAGCCTGCTCTGCAGAGAACTCTGTGTACCAGGCTCGCCAATCCAGGTAACTACCCGAGGGCAGACACGCCTTTGCCAGCTGAATCCAGTCCGCGGGGGTGAGGGGCCCAGAAGACAGATTCTCCAGCATGGCAATGGTGTAAGGCGCAGTCGGCCCAAAGGTTGTAACTGCATTTTTAAGTTCTCTAATCTGCTTTATCTCAAAAGGCTCCCATACATTGCGTCCCTGGCCCATAGCTACTTGTACAGGAAATATCTCGTAGGGGCCACTATCTATCCCAGGTGGATGTACCTC